TTATGTACCAAAGGTAACCATGATAAATAGTAGTATAAATATAATAACTTGGTGAGATTTATATAAACTATATGCTAAGAGCGAAAAAATACCTACTAAAACCTTCCAGAGCCTTAAAAATAAAAAGTATGCTTTTAAACATACATCTAGGTTTTGTGTGATATCAAATAAATTGCGGCGTTGAATAATAATATACTACTATAAATATTATTGTTTATTTGTTTCCATTTTCATTGTTGCTATATTATAAGTGTATGAAACATTATCAAACTTTCTAAATTCGTATTAAAACAATAAACGCTAATTTCTAATTTCAAGGAACATAAAAAAAAAATTAAATGTTATAATAAATGAAAAAAAGTGATTGAAAATGTAACGTTTGTACATCCTACATTTTACAAACTACTGAAAATGATAGCTAGTAGAATTGTTAATTTTAATTTGTAAAATAACTGACAAAGATGTATTCAGAAAAACCAACAAAATTATAATTCTTTACGAAAAAAACTTGAGCTAACGTTGAATTGATCACTTTATACCTGACAAATGAATATTAACAAAAATCACAACTTCTAAATACCAACAAGAGGATAACAATATTAAATTGTTTAAGAATAACTGTGTTAATTCAATCGTGTTTCTAGCTCTTTGTCAGTTTTTATTTATTATTATTTTATAAGGTATAAAGGTAGACTTTTTTTGTCTAACTTCAACTTAATTGTCAGACCTAAAGTTCTAAGACTACCCCTAAAAAAGGGAAATAAAGTACCCATTCTAGGAAGAACCATTAAGAGCATACTATGTAGTACAATATGATACAATCGAATTAACCATTGTTATCATAGGCCGAAAGTATAGCTGTGTTTTATGTGACTATTTGAATATCTGTATCGCACCAGATAACGTAAAAATGGTATTTTGTTTAAGTAATTAATGACTATTGAACATATATTATTATGTTTGGTTAACAAGTAATAAACTTGATCTAGGGTGGATAATACAAATTAAATTGGATTGTTATGAAACATAATTATTTTTTATAACTCAAAAACTGTTAAATTATAAATTAAAATGTATACATAATTATTATATTTTATACTTTATATTGATTTAGAACAATATTATAACTTATAACAAATGATTGTAAAAAACCTATAAACTTATTTTACTTGAAATAATATATTATCATATTCACAATGTTTAGCTCACGCGATCTACGGACAACAATACAAACTAATAGGTGAGTAAAAATATTTCTTAGCTTTCGCCTAGCCCATCCACTACGGTAACGAGGAGTTCGTCCAAGTCAATATAGTATACAGCGACGTAAGAAAATTGTCTATACTTTACGCCTAATTTTGTTGCATAGAATAGCCCACCTATAAAGTAACATAATGTGATAATTATCAATTCGAATGAAGACGTCCATCAGCATAAAACAACTTTCGCATTATATGATGTTAGAATGGTGACTTTTTGTTTACACTTTGAAATTTTTCAAAAACCGTTTGTCAATTAGGTAAAGTATAGTTATTATTAATAGTTAAATGGAATATGAACCAAATTGAGGTTATAACGTGTTACTTCTGAAACTTAAATGGTAACGCATAGATTTTATTAACTTTTTTAATTGAAAATAATGTACTAAACATTTTGATTGGTCGATAACCAGTTTTTGATAATTATTTTAAAGTTATAAGAGTTTAAGAGTTATGACGGGAGGGGGAGTGCGGTTGGGAAATGCGCGCAGATAACAATAATACTACACTCCACCTTTCACCCTGCCCTGAACTTGAAACTTTAATAACTTCAAAAATAGTTATCCAAAACTGGTTATCGACCAGTAAAAATGTTTAGTACATTATTCTCAATTTAAAAAGTTAATGAAATGTATGGGTTACCATTTAAATTTCAAAAGTTTCTATTAAAAAAAACCTAATTTGGGAGAGGGGTTAAAAAAAAAGGTGAACAATTGAAATCACATTGCATAAAACACTATGTAAAGAAACAATTTAATTTCTAAATAAACCCTATGAGATATTGAATAGTTCACAATAAGTTGATCACCTTGTATTTTTTTTTTTTTTTTTAATTTATAAAACAATATTATAAAACTATGGAAATCCCTAATGCGATTAGAAAAATATATTTTTTTTAAAACGAACCATTACCGTTTTTTAAACTACTGTTTAACTTATTAATTCCGGAAAAACACGTTTTGCAGCAATTCGAAACATAAAAACCTCTACAAATTAATGAAATAATTAATTTAATTTATTTTACCAAATATTATTCTTGTCTAATTATTATATACATTAAATATGTTAACATTACTAATATTTCCTAACTTGTCTGGATCATCCGCAATAAAAATAATCCTTATTCCCGAAAAAAGTGGTTTTTTGAAATAACACGTTTTGCGCAGAAGCGCCTAAGTTATAAAACGTATTAGTCGGTTATTAAAAAATAACCGTCGACTACTTTTCAAAATACAATAATCGCACTGCAAAAATATATAAGGTGTTGTGTTCCCTTTAGGCGAATAATCATGACAAAAAAATTGAGAAATCGTTCACATGCACTTATTAGCTAAAATGTTCAGTGACATTAAATTTGGCTATCAATATTATTGTGAGCCGTTTCAATATGCGCGAAATAAAAAAACAACATTTAAAGGATTACAGCAATTATACTAATTTATATTGTGTTGTTTACAAGACCACGCGAGTATCCACCAGCGTACGTTTAGTTGTTCCTTCGTGATAGGTTAGGATGGGTAACGGTCATCACGAATGACCCAATATTCAAAATAACATATTTAATTAACTCAGTACGTTCTACACGCCTTTCTAAACTAATTTTACGGCATTCATGAACATACGAAATTAATTAATAGACTTGTATTATTTTTTGGTAACTTTTATAGCTGTTACCTACATATAACATACACTCAAACACGTGTACCTACTGAACACAAAATGCATCAAAACTGTTCAGCTGTGAAATATATACATTATCAGCGGGTGATTGAATTTACCAAAAAGGTACAAGTGACATAAACATAATATTATATAGGTGGTATCCTTTGTTATCTCAACTATAGAGTTGAGTATAATCAAATTCAAGATAATATCATTAGAAACTTTGAAACACTAAAATTAAACTATATTGAAAATATTATCCAGTAAAACGGGCCATTGTAATCATAAAAAAATTATAACATGTTGACATGCCTGTAATTGACATGTAGTATTGATATTTATAATGTAAATGAAATACATGTGGAATTATTAGTAACAAGCACTTTGTACTTACAAAAGAGTATATTATAATTTTCAAACCATTTTCATTAGTACACGACAAATTATTCAAACGTTATGGCCAACAATTCATTGAACTTGTATTAAACGATAGTAAGCATTCCGTCATAAGTATATTAATAACAATTATAGGCTGATAAACCTATTAGACCACTTGTTAGACTCATTTAACGCCAGGGGTATTGAGAACCCTCGTAGTAAAATATTATTCTTTGTGGGTAAGTTTTTTATGACTAATTTTTTTTATATTTAGTATTTAATACAATGCACCAATGATAATTGATTTCCTATAAACGCAAGCACTAACTTAAATTTTATAATGTCTTTGTGGAAAATGCAAATTTTAATATTTGTTCGACAAAAGTTATTCATTCAAATGTGAGTCCCATGAATGATGTAAACCGCTGTTTAATAATATTGCTCTAAAGCAATTTTTTATTTAAACTACTTTCCCATTTTTGTGAGAACTTAAACCTTTCCGAGATACACCTCCCACTTGTCACCATCTCCCACTTATGCTTTTGTAGATTTACATAATATTAAACAATATCCATTCTTACATAGTATTAAATTATTAATTAGGTACTGTATTTTATATTGTTTGCGATTCGGTTAAATAATGTTCAAATTAATTTACTTACCTTTTTTTTATTCATACAACTTTGAAATAATAGATTAAACGATAGATCTCTTCTCGCAGATTAATAATATACCTACTATAATATCCAATCAACAATACCTAGACATAGCTGATAACCCTGAGTTATATATTTTGGTATTAATATTAATTAGACTGTTAAAATGTCCTTTAGTAAACGGCTAACAAGAGAAAAATAATAATAATATTGTGAAAGTGCTAATATAATATTATAATAATGTATTATTGTGATTGTTGAAATGTATATTATGTGCTCATGACGATAATTTTATTTTTAAAACGGGTCATCTCGATCACAACACCGGTCGATCGGTCTTCATTTAAATTACATACAAAATACAATATAATAACAATTATTCTCTTAGTGGGGCACATCAATGGTCGAGCAATTTGTTAGTCACAATAGCCGTTCGGGTGAGTTCGTTAATGACATGTTCGACGATATAGCATGGTATAATACACCCAGCTGTTTCTATTTTTTAAGAACTGTGCGTTTTGATTTCGTTTATCACAGTTCCATTTCGAAAACAACAATTGAGGAACAATATTATGATATTTTATTATTAAATACACTACCAACGAGTTTTTATCGTCAATAGCTGTAATATTATTACTTTATTCACTTTTACCCGAAAATAACGTACAGTTCAACGCACGGCGACCATTATCAATAAAACATAATTACCCTTGACACAGGACGTGTCCCGGCTGTTTTTCGTACATTAAAATAATATAAAAAAATATTTAAGTGTCGCTGTTTAAAATTTGCAAAACGTGACTGTGAAACACCTTAACACGTTTATATTAAATTTTTCTGCAATCCCTTTTCGGAAACGTTTCCAGACTTCGGTCTCAAAAGTCAATACATATCACATTTCACACTTTACACTTGCCTAGTTATACCATTACCGTTAGGTTTATTCACCACTGACCCTGCCACGTTTAAGTGTCATAATATCACTATAATAACTATGTTAGTTTCGAGAAAAAAAATAGTGTTTTAATAGAACAAACAATTCGAGTTTAAAATAGATATATCTTTTTATTGATCGTCTATTGTAACAGCCAAAATGTGTGTGCCAATAAAAGACAATATAATATTATATTGTTGGCGTTCCGTCTGTTGAGTACAGCGAATCGTATCGCGTATCACGAGGAACCTGATCGATTAGCTTTTATTGCTTAAAGGTAACGATGATAATAATTATTTGAAAAACAGAACAATAATATATTATACTATTATTGTTCTTATGACAGATGGTGTGTATAGCTGATAGTGAACAAACAAACACGAATGATTTTTTTTTTTGGAAAACAAAAATGTTTTAAAAACGTCTCAAATGATATTGAAGTATAAATATTATATATATATAAATAATAAATAAGTAATGTACAAATAAATTTATAGTGAGCGTTTATGTGAAGCTGGTCGTCGATGGCTCATTTGAACTTTGATTCTCGTCGGATTTTTTTGTCGAGCACCGATACGAGTGATATCTTAACTCGTCATCTGCAACCGTAAAAATAAAAAAAATAATAAGTAAAAAATCGTACTTGATCACAATGCGTTTTTGGTCGGGGTTCACACACACTTACGTTTGTACGTTTTTTTACTGAGGTACTACTGGTACTTGGGCGCTGTAGGCCATCTGTTGGGAGTCCACGCTTCTTCCCCATCCGCTGCTGCCGCCGGCCGAACCACCGTATCCGGCGGAAGAGAGGTCGGCACCACCGGCGCTGGAGTAAGAGTCGTGTCCATGGGGCTCGTGGTGTTCGTGGTGCGGGGGGTGTGGGACCACCTCGTAGGTGACGGTCTTGTGGTGCGAGTTGACCAACTTGTGGAGGATGACCACCAGGGACAGGACCAAGGCGATCTTTCCGAGCAACAAGGCCTTTCCGGCGATAAGGGCGATTTTACCCAGTACGAACGGCAACAGAGCGATCAGTTTGAATTTCAACATCATCAACATGTGCATCAACATCTTGTCCTTCTTCTCTGTAAACACACAAAACCGAAAAGGCGCCGGTGTAAGTTACAGGGCGAACTCGGGTTGACAAAAAAAAAAAAAAAAAAAATTAAGCATAGTATTTGGCATCGTTCGTAAAAAAACAAAACTTGCTTGCATTTTAGACATCGATAATCAAACATTTCAGTCCCGTGCAAGAAGTGACGCGAGTCGGTTTTTTGAGAATCTTGTTTCCAGCACTTAAAGTGGTAGTTTTTATGTCCCTTCTTGCACGAGACGACGGTTTAATTATTATGGCGGTCATGGGCACCAGTTGACCTATGCTAATATGCGTAACGTTGAAATAAAATACAACTGCATACGTTTGGGTGTGTAAAAAGTGAGAGAGAGAGAGAGAGACTATGAACGCGGACATCAATACCGTATTATCTACAAGTTCACGGCCCGGTGACCGTTGGACACGACTTGTATCTAAACACAATATATATGTATTATATATATATTATTATAATACAGGTATATTATATTTGTACGTATACATAATATAATGATATCGCGTTGCTCTCGGCTCGTATATAAAACTATCTGTTTACGCTCGGGGGCACTTTCTAAAACTGGTTTTTCGTGCTGCACGATTTTCTAATTTTTCCCTACTAAAAATTTGATCTCTCTCTCTCTCTCTCTCTTGGGGTGTGTGTTTATCGCATGTGCTCTTCCGATACCGGCTTGTGGTATTACAGGTATTACCTACCTGTAAACGGAGCACCGCTAAAAAACGAGATTCCGGTGCGCGCGCCCGCGCTTATAATAATATATATATTTGATTGACGCGCTGTAGAAAGTACATTATTATTATTATTATTATTATTATTATTATTTTTTTTTTTTATTATTAAGAGTGACGCTAGGCGTTGATGGATACCTTGCCGGGATACCGGTATGTAAATGCGTGCCTATATATAGATAACGAGGAATACGACCGCGGTATGTGGGTTGGCCCTTGAGAACTGGGTTAGTAGTGTCGAGACGATCGCATCGGGTTGCCCGCCTGCCCTCCATGCCACCGCCGCTGACGCCCCCCCGGGAGGTCATTAGCGACCCGAAGATTCGGAAACGATTTTTTAAACACACAGGCCGTTCACCTGCCGGGCTGTGTGATTCGTGTGGATGTAATAATAATAATAATAATATTTTAAGCCGTCGTTACGCGCGTTTTATTGTTGCAGGGCGACCGTTCCGTGTACACAAGTTGTCTTCGAGTGCCCGAGGCCTTAGCACACACACAAACCGCTAAGTGCCGTATCGCTTGTAAAGTTCCCCGCAGTTTAATTGTTACCTATCATGGTAGCCGGTTTCCTATAAGCAAGACGATATTAGCCGGTGTTTATTTTGCTCAAGCCCGCGACGACCGAGTTCCCTATCCTTCCCGTCCGTTATAAACACTCGGTTAACGACGTCGCTTATTATTGTAATATCTGTCTAAGGACTTTGGAAATTCATGCATTTGAAAAATTAATCGCCCGATTCACTGCATCTTTTGCCGGCCAGTCTAACTGTAAACCGTACCTACGACTATTTTATATTTTATTAGCAACGCTAACAGCACCGCGATGACACATATTATTATGCGCTGAAAACGACTAGTATCAATGCGTGTATGTTGTATTAATGGAAACCGCATTGAACATGTCGTAAAACATGTACGGTACATCGTCCAATCCGTTATGGATCAAGGCCAGTGTTAATTAGCCCACGATACAAACTATTAAACTAGAATATATTGTAAACTTGTACGTTTTAAAATACTGATATTTACTGTAATAACTCGATTGGTGTATCGATTGAAAATTGTAATCATTTAATAATTGTTGTATGACTAAGCAGTAGTTTTTTCTGTAGTATCTATTGTTTTATGATAAATGCAAGTATTCGAATAGTTAAAAGTAAAAAAATGATATTTTTTTACATTATTGGTTAATAAGTATAAGGAAAATTATTAAAAGCACGACTTTTGTCCTAAGATGTGAGTACTAAAATAATTAATTTGTATGGATTTTGACAAAATTCTAAATAAATCATGCAAATATTAGCAATTAATTAACTTAAGTCTAATGAAAGGGATGTAATTCTATTGAAGGCATTTTTAACTAAATTTATAACTATAAGTACCAGTAGAGCTTATGATGTACCTCTAAAAGGTCAGACGATGGAATAATTTTAACCAAATCGGACCAATGTAAATGCAAATTGTTGTACTTATAGAAATAGGTACAACACAAAATTATTTCAAATACTATTTCAAATAGTCTGATGTTGAGCAAAATTATAGTAAAAATAAAAACTGCAATAACATTTGCCCCATTTATTTGTAATTATCCCATCTTACTCTATACCGATTTTCAGGAGGGTTAATAATTATTCAAATCGTCTTCCACACAAATGTGGTGAATATTTAATGAAAACCTTAAGCAATTGTCTGTTAATCGATTGATGAAAATTATTATTCGACTAGATTGCGAAAGTTTATAGTGACTGACTTTGGACGTTCCGTGAACTGTGAGCTTTTTAATAACTATCTTAACTATGTATTCGAATTTTGTCCATATAAAAGTTTTGAAACTTACTCTTTTTGCCACGGCTTTCTTCGGTCGCGCCTTCTTCTTCTCCGATGAACGAGCTGACCATGTCGGTGACGGTCTTGCCGGTTCTCGTGACGGAGTTGACGATGTCGGATCCCTTGAGGTCGACCTTCAAGGTGTGCGTGTTCAAGAAACGTTGGACGCGCTTGAGCACCAGAGATTCAATGTCCTTGGGTTGTTCGTTGTTGTCGTCCAGGGACCTCGGGGCTCCGTCGCTGGGGTTGCCGGACGTCCTGACCACGGTCACTCCTTCGGTCAAGTTGATCTCGTCCTTGTTCAAAGCCTTGTCAACGTAGGCGAACAGTTTGTACTTGATGCAAGACACGGAACCCTTGTTGACGCAGTCGGAGTAGATGCCTTCCAAAAGGTCCTCTTTGGCTTGGATCGAGTTGTGGCCGACGGCTTGGGAGTCCATGCCGGACGGCAGGCTCCACGCCGATGCCAAGGTCAAAAATAAGCACAAACATATCCTTAGCTGATTCATGGTTAAGACGAGGTGGGTGTTGCTGGCGTGGAGTTGTACGGGACCTGTGAATTGCACACGATGCGACGCCCCGATAATCCAAAAACTGTATGATACGCAATACCCAGACGGTGCACGTTTTATACCCGGCCCCCACTTTACGCAACTGGTACCCCGGTCACTTTTTTTAAGTCGCCGATCTGGACCCCCGGAAGACGATGGACTTTCTCTATCTACCGGTTGCCGGCCGGCCGACCCCTTCCCGTTTCGCACTTCACCGTCGGCACATATTTTTTATTATCTCTTCAATTGACCCTATAATCCGCTGTTTATGTTTTTTTTTTTTTACGCATGCGTACCTATAGACACTGCAATCGTTTTGCTATTAATAAAAATATATATATATATATAAATGTATAATATATAATATACTTGTAACAATATTATAAGGTATTTACACGCTATTAGCCGCAAGACGACACGATTACCGTCTACGGTACCTAATCATAAAACCGTTCAATATGTATTCATATGATTTTCGATTAACATAGTAGCGGCCGGCGATTGATCGGTTTTTCTTTGATATTTTGTAGGTATTTCTTTTGGCATAAACGTCCATTGATCGTCCGTATTATACAAAGCGGTATAAAATAATAAATATTCGAACAATGATACCATTCTTTTTATTATTTTTTGCTGAAATAAATTACAATAATTTACTGTTTTTTTCAATAGGCATAACATAATACAAAAAGTAAATCATAATATTTAATTCTACTAAACGAACTAGCCTACGAATCGAACTAAAATACAACTATTTTTAATACTGTGCGCTCCCGTATAATATGCAAGCGTTATTCAATTGTTTTATTGTTTTCGCTTTAAGGACTATCGAGACAATAACAATAGTAAATCATATTATGTGATCGATTGTTTGTGTTGAGTAACACTCGTTGAACGTTGTGAGGAACTTAAATTGATAATTGAGATCAGATTGTACTTGTAAAATTAGTACTTCACGTGTCCATCATCCGACATATTTTGTTTTACCGAGTATTTCTGGAATCACTTTTTATTAATAAACATAACTAAAATATCTGTTAGCATATCAATAAGATAACAATGTTAGTTTTAAATTGTAAAAACAGGTAACGTGGTTTTTAATTTTTCCAAATAAAAATGTATTTTTTATGTATTTCATTTACTGCTGTAAGTGCAATTGCACTTAAAATACTATACTTTTGCCGATTCAAGGTGAATTACTGTGACCATTTTTTTCTAGATGACAATATAAATTATTTCTGAAAAAAATGTACTTGGATAACAACTCTTTCCTATTATAATCACTTGGAACTATGTTTTTGTAGTCTGAACTATTTTTTTCTCTCTCAAAAAGTCGTGTCATGCGCATAGAAAAATGAGTTGTACTGTGTACAACACGAGTCAACTAGATAGAACGTCGTAAATGTTGTATAAAATTACACGACATTATCTGATGGTCCACTGTTCTACTCACAATCAGCTTTATAGTACTTCACAAACAATGATAATCTCTAACGCTGAACGTGAATAACACACAGAATTTCAAACGTTTAATGAGTGCAATGTTTATTATTTTTATTAATGTTATACATATATAGGTGTACACAGTACACTTATTTAAATTTTTATTGAAAGATTTTCACACGGCGTTGATGTTTCCCGGTCAGATTAGAATTTTAAAAATTATCATTTATTTTATTCAAAATAATTTTACTCACATTTTCTCGTCTTTGTGTAAAATATCACTCCATATACCATACTCTAATGTTTTAATAAATAATTATGTTTAGGTATTAATGTATACACTGCAAATTGCAATTATTATAATTTTAATGCTATAACAACACTAGACGCAGGACATTTTTTTTTAATTTAAAAATGTCTACTTCAGTTAAATGTATGCACGTATTAAATCGATAAAATTTAATTTATTTCATTTTAAATGTATTCAGCAAAGTTGAAAACGTTATAGTCTCAGTAACTATATTATAGTGACATATTGTGGCAATAACAACCCTCTAATTCGAAAAAGAACAGTTTTTCATGATATTGAAATTATTATATTAGATTTAAAATAACCAAGAGAATGGTCTGTTTAGTTGAAGATCATTATTTCGATGATTAAACTATTCATTATAGCTATTTAAATAAAATATATATTTTTTATTTTGAAAATAAATAATTGTGTAACAACAGATACATTTTACTAACAGCAAACTTAGCGTATGATAAATGTGTGACAGTTGCACTTAACGCTGCTATTGTTTTTTTTTAGAATGTTTGTGTGCATTATGAAATACGTGATTTTATATTGTTAATCGGTTTACTATTTAACCAATGTTGCATTAAATATTCAAAATCATATAACTTATGCATATATTAATTAAATACAAATTTGGGAAACGTATTATTTTCACACATTAACAGCATTGTTGATTGATTTTAAAATATATTATTTTCAAACTGGTTTGGAAATACTGGGTCACTTTAAATCCGATAAATACAACAGACTCGATTTTTCGATATGGCCTATATTCAGCAGATGTTCAAATATGTTATGTTCAATTGAACGATGACCACCCAGCGTATACATTTATTTTCTTTTTATAAATATGGTGAATACCAACGGAAATGTATTCTGAATGATATCTAATTTTATTTATCTTTCGCTTTTTAATAAATGTCATCCGATACTGAAATATTAGTGAAAGTATTATCGTTTCGTTTAGGCAAAGTTAAATGCAATATAGATATAAAAAAAACAAAGTAGCCGATACTTTATGACGGTGCATAAAAAAAAAATATTTAATTGGTAGAATGATATTACACCGTAGGTAGTACGTAGACTTTGACTCGTGTAAAAGTGAACAAGGTAATAAATTAATTTATTACTGTGTACAATTAACGCTTTTTATAGCTGTTTATAGCTTTTTAAGCTACCATTTTAAAGCATATGAGTATTAAAAGTTTTTAACAACAATCATAATGAATTGCTTAACACACATAGATATTTTGTTCTATATTCAATCGTTTGGTATTTAAATAAAAACACTTTAAATTCCATTTCAATTATTCCGTATACACACACACGAGACTAAATTCGACGGTTTAGTCGGGCCAACAGAAAAAAAACTACATTCACGGCACCGGATGTGTATATTACCCGAATAGATACAATTATATGTACCTCAAAGAAAGTGAAAATATGATTTGTATCCATTGGTATTATTAAAAAAAATAAAAAATACATCATGCCGTCGTCTTAATGGAATCGTGAATCTTAGTTTGGAAATGCAGACGATTATCAATGGAAAAAAAAATTGCAAGTCGATTAGCAGTTATGTCCATATTATTATTGCAATTTTTCAAATGAAAGTTTATTCACGTGTAGTTATAAAGACTAATCCGAGTGCAAACTATAAATGTAATCGAAATATAATACCACCTAAAATATGCTATATAAAGGATATTATTATTTTTACAAAGTATATTGAATTGGTGGTATAATATTGTGGTGGTTTGTTTGAGTGTACGTGTGCCACTATGTACGTGAAGTAATCTTAAGCCATCTAACCGATTGTTCTCTTAAAGCTTTATTGTGTACACAAATGGAACTGCAGTTATTATCTTCTCGAAATTCGCCACACCGTTTGCAACCAATTTACAAGCTTATTTTTTCATTTCCTCTTGCCCACAAAATAATGTAAGTCAATATTTCACAATAATCATTACAACAACGGTGACATTTTATATAATTATAGTTTTCCACTAAACCATAGAATGCCTTTTAAAAATCTTCGACATTTCTATTAAAAAAATATCATAGATTGTACCAATGATTATCAATGGTTGTACCTACTGTGTGTTGAAAATAAAAATGATATAATAATAATGATAAACTACATAAATTATTTATTCACTGAATATCGGTTAGTAATAAATTGTAATAAACCAATAATAACTTTCATAAAAATATTTTATTTTACACATTAATTATGTAGTTGTCAGTAGCTCTTAATGATTGATATTTTGAAAATTACTTACTACAATTATTTTTAGAATCATGAAAGTAGTTTAATGTCATTGACATTGTATATATATATATATAATTATATTAGATACTTTCACATATCAAACATCCATTTCTTTCAATAATCCGAATTCTTATGTATTTAGTGTTTTGGTCACATGCCAATCTTTGACCAAAACAAATTACCATAAGCTCTTCGGTACACTAATGGACAGTGTTCGGGTAAAAGGATACAAGTGAATTTTGGTCATATTCAAGTTTAATATCAATTTTCTACTGTGTCGGTTGACAGGATTACCTTTTTCATATAATGCGTTTTAGTTATTATAATATTATATTGTTGTATATTATATAAAGTGCGTTTAGTATAGCTATTTTCGATACCTTTGTTTTTTTTATTGTGAAAAGGGTAATTTGTTCACTGCAACAGGGCGCAAGCCATGTTTTTTTTCTTTGTACAAGAGCACATGTATAATTTCAGTGCAAAAATGATTTATTTAAATTAAAATATGAAGTATAAAAAACAATGATTATAATCGTTGGAAAGTAATTCATTGTATTAGGGACTTCAAATTAATTAAAAAATAACCGCATTCGAACGTTTTTAGAGTCACTGGGAAAATATCGAATATGGACTATTTGGGCTTGAATAACATGTCGAATTATAGTATTTTTTTTTTTTTTTAATAAAACAATTACATATTAAGCAATAACACAGTTCGAAGTATTCTCGCGTTGTCAAAGCCTCGACTGTGACTTGCGATTATTTCAGTTAATAAATCATAACAGTTTATTGGGATCTGGTAGCAAAATACATTTTACGATTAAAATATGATATTATAATAATATAATATTGACTATTGTATTGTTAGAACTGTTAACACGGTGTTATTGCCGGACTGGATCGCTCTGTATAATTGCTTGACCTCCGTAATCCTGTAAACGGAATTCTCGATACGCCGACCGCTCGAATCTCGCCGTGATTCCGGTGAATGATGAAAGTGGTTTTTATGAATGAATGTGAATAAAACTGGAACTAGCATAGACTTGCCCAAAAGTA